ATTCGAGGTTTATATAATGTAATAAAAGCATTTAATCCTTTAAATTTTTAATAAATTCCTTTAACTAGAGGAAGTTGCACCTGCAGAAACGAAATTTGAGGTGCATGAGAAAATTATAACTCTTTCTATTTAACTATAAACATTCTCACAATCAAGCCGTGAATAGTTTACAATTATCGACAAAATTTGTCATATTGTTGTCATTCTAACACCAACTTTAACCCCACACCTGCGAAAACAATTGATCATCTGACGAATTTTCCCACCAAAAATGTATAAAAGCCATCCTCCTTCCCCTCTCGGGGGAGTCACCGATCGAACGTTCAAAACGGCCTTCCCTTCCCGTTGACCTGCCGAACTAATTAAAAGACCTAGTGCCCTACTATGCATATGTAGCTAGAACTATTTCTAAGACTAACAGCACAAAACCTTTCTCACTAATTTCTAGCCTTATTAACTGGAGTACAAACGTTTTCGGCCTTCTTAATAGGCCTTCCTCGGGTACACTCGGGTACGAGTGTACCCGAGTGTACCCGAGTGAGAAAGGTTTTGTGCTGTTAGACCTAGTGCCAACTCGCAACTGGTGCACCTTTCCGAAATAGCCGAAGTATCCGTCCGATACTATCACAGAGGTATGAAATATTATTGTAAACTCACTCTCTCATCCGCGGAGTTTTGTAAAATTTTATTTCGTTAGCGCGTTTAATAAACCATTGTTTGTTTTTAAATGGTGTCGTTACTCGACTGTGCTCACGCCTTATCGTCGACCCCTCCGACTCTCCTACACTCGCGTAACGAGTAACCGAACGTTACTACCATCCCTGACAAGAAAAGTAGGTCACCGACCTGTGGCCGGAAGGAGAGGACTTCCCGACCTCCCCGGCGGCTCACAAACACATAGTTCAGTGCTTGCCTGCTTTCAGTTTCCTGCAGCACCATCTAATGACAAGAAATGTAACTATTTCAGTACAGTAGAACCTCGAAAACTCGGCTCTCGATAACCTGGCACTCCAGATAACTCGGCCACACCCTGGCAGGGCAAAAAACTCCTTAGTTAATTAATTTTCATTATAGACAGCTTTATAAAAGTATAAAAGCTCTCATAAAGTATTTTTCTGAGGTCTGTCTTATCAGGTAAATTACTGTACACAGTGTATTCATTAATTTTCATTTTCATGTAGTAAAGGCTCTATGCCTTCATAAAGGATGTACTTTTCCTTTGTTTAAGGGTATTTGGGCAGTTTATTCTCTGTTATATTCTCAAGTAAACAATACATACAAATACAGTACAGTATTTTATGAGAAAACACTCGTACTTATTTTTTTTAACCCCATTTCTGATAACCCAGCATTTTCACAAACTCAGCCACCCTTCGGTCCACATTAGGCCGAGTTTTCGAGGTTCTACTGTACTAAAATTTTTGGTAAAAACTGCTTATGACAACCTTTGGAGAGAACCATGTCCTCAGTCACATTTTTCCAAATGATGGTCTTCAAGGCTTCCAGACATCAGATAACTTGATTAGCCATGTTGAAGAACTCTATCCAACATGAAGTTTCAGTAATATCAACTGAAATGCTCTTTAATGCTGTTCATAGTTTCATACCTCCTCTAACAGCTGTGCTCATGAATAAAGGGCACCGCGTCAAGCATTTGTAAATTTGTTAAAATAAGAATAAAAATAAAAATGTTCTTAGTGTAAGCTCTAGTAGCAACTACACAATTATGTAATCTTATCAAGTGCCATCTCATGGGAAGAAATGTACCGTATATTTCCGCAGATAAGACACTAGTTGAATCATAAAAGAAGGCCTCCAAAATCCAGGGTCATCTTATAGGACAGATAAAAAAAATTAGATTGAAATTTATATAAATTAGAATCATTATAAAAAAACAGAAAAACCGTAATTATTTACTAGTAGAGAGTAGGGGGTATGTCCACAAAATAGAATAGCCCATATGACGTTTTTGTGAATAGTCAAGGTCATTACCTGAATGCCTGAATCAGTGCGAATATTTGAAACAATAGCAAGGCAGTGCTACCAGATGCAAGAAAATAAAATTTTTTTATTTGAAAAATTACAAATGGGACATAATTCCGAATACACTATACAGTATTATTATCCAGATGATGATCGCTGATCTAAACTAAATTCATAGGGCATTGATAGCTTGGGGTCGTCTTATAGGACAGATATATGCTAAAACTATAAAACTTTGACGAAAATTTATACCTTGTGTAAGGTTTGCCGACGTTGAGGGGGAAAAAGTCTATCTCAGGTCAGAATGAGCCTAAGGGAAACCGCATATGTGGGCGGTGGCGAAGGAGGCAAATGATGTACAAGTGTTTTACAAGATAAAACCCGTTTATTTGTTCGAATTCATGCTTACATCGATAATGGACAATTCCAAAATCTCTGTGCTCCTGGGAACGGCGAAAGTTCGTGTGATGGGTCGCAGTTCGGGCGGACGAGAAAGATATCTGGACGAAGCAGAAGTTTGTTGTTACGTTGCGGCGTCCTCGGTGATCGGCGGATGCACAACACAATTTAAATCACCACTGTAGGCTTAATCCGGAGGAAATGCTCTTTCGACCTTGAAGTTCCGATTTTTATAGTTTTTTTCCCCACTGTTCGCATTTCAGATTGGTCCCTCGTCCCATTCCTCGCTTCCCGATTGGTCTCTCCTTTGTCTCCAGGTGCAAGATGAAACTTTTTCGGGTCGCGGGAAAGGTCCGATTCGAGGTGTCCATCTGATACCTCTTTGTCGACTCTACTCGATGACTGTTTATAAAATAATAACACATGCACTCATAACTCAGGCCGTTATTTACCATTTTTGACGTCTAAGAATTTAACGATCGTTTTCACCTTTCACCTATCAAAAATTCCTCTATTTTTTTGTTCGAAAAGGTTTATCTTGGCCAACATTTTATAGACACGCGAGTCAAAGATCTACCTGTTTATGAGCGCTCGTGTTAGAGTTTGTCTTCTGCTAAGACCTTAACAGATAGTTGACACATACTCGAACCGTCCCGAGTCTTGTTGTTTACATCTTGTGTCGCGCAAGAATTTCACGGTTTATTCAAGTTCGAACCTCATCTGGGAACCCACACTTGTCATATCTGCGGAAATATACGGTAACTATTTCACTACTAAAATTTTTATTACAAAAAAAATCCACTTTTTTCTAAGCATTTCTGTGAAAACTGCATCATCTTACTGTAAATAATTTGCGAGTTATTAATTTTTTAAACTTTCTATGACTATGACCTGTGTAATTGATTGAGATGGCTACACCACAGTAGAGATGACAAACCTTTATCAGCACAGGTGCCGTATAATAAGTATAGTTAGCTTTAGACATGTTTATATGTGCCAAGGTTTTAGACTTCCAATAATGATATTTAAAGAGATTAAACAAATATACTTTAAATTAGAATAAATATAAAAAAGCTAATTAAAAATAAGGACAAAGGAGTGATAAATCGAAAGGATGATCGAAAAAGACAGACGATAAATCAAAATCGTTTGATATGTTACGTGCCACTTTGGGCAACTTGCCATATCATAACAAGTAGGCCAGAGAGGCACAACGATGTCTCAAAAAATACAGTGCACAGGCATTACTCTCTAGTAGATGGCAGGGAGCCAGCAAAGAACAACTGCAATTGATAGAAGGTAAACAAATGTAGAATTACTACCACCAGGTAATTTATTGACGAGAAAACGTGCACTTAAAATTTTAAAATTTAGGTCCCATGAATCTTATTCTGGTTTTTATTAGGGAGAAAACACTAAAAAATAAAAATTGAGGTAAATTTCTGAGTCTGATCAACCAATTTCACAAAAGCATTATGTTAAATTTAAAGTTTGTTAAGCATTATTTTAAATTAATTAAAGATAGAGTATCTTGGTAGTTCAAGTCGACTAATTACACCAACATTACTATTATTACTAAGCCAATACAGTTTTTGTCGGTTTATTTGACAATGCAAACAAATTTTCCAAACTGAGTTTTAAAAAATTGTCATTTAAATTTGGTTTGACATAAAGACCCAATGTTTTCACACACACACACACACACACACCAGAAATTTTGTCTGGATTTTCACCGTATTTAGTTTTTTCAATAGTTTTCAGTTGAGAGGTGAAAAAATATTTTTGTAAAGTGTGTGGCATTTCTATAGTACTGGCAATGCTAATTCAGATCGAGCATGCCATGTGTCTGGTGGAGGCACTACTGAGCAGCCAGGCAGTCGACTGGAACCCAAAGCCTCTTTGGCCTACTCACTATTATACTATGGCCATACCATAATTTAAAGCAAAGTGTTCTCAGAGGCAATAACTTTCTCCCGTAAGGTTGGCAACCCTGTTCTGCACTGATTTCTTGAGTTTCTTTTATCAGTTCCACAGACAAATATTTTTTCCAGTTTCTTTATGCAAAACAGAAAAGGTGAAATTCTGATTGGGAATACAGTGAGTCCGTTTCCACAAAAACGTCAGTCAGTTCTGGTGGCATACGACAATGCAATGGTGGGATGTAAATATTTATGTGTTTAACGTAAAAATAAAATGTTTTACTCAGTCTTACTCGATTATTTTTTGTTTTTCTTCCATACCAATAATTTTCAAGTTAATAAATTACTTACTTTGCATGTTTTTCTAAGCCTAGAAGCTATTTCTGGTGGTTTCTGTAAAATTACCGGTCAGTGGGTGGCGCCCTCCATCGGGACACATTTCCCCGGCTGCCAATCTAAGCAACTGGTCCGTAAAATGGCATGGATTACCCAGAAATCTCCGACAGTCTCCCATTTGCTCTTTTCTCCTGCACCGGAAAAAGAAAATTGCAGCCGACACAGACCCGCAGTTCCCGGAATTTAAAGGCTGATGTCAGTCGGTACTAGCAGAAAATGAAAATGCGCTGGGGGAACGTACATCTGCGGAGGTGGGAACGGGAACGGAACCGGTAGCCAGGCTTTTACTGGAGAAGAAAATACCTGTTGAAGAAGGTCGTCAGTTCCAGCCATGACCAACATCATCTCCACAATGCCCTTCTGTCCTATGCAGTGGTTACCCACGTCCAGGGGTCCCTGTAAGAGGCCAAACCGTGGCTTAGTCGCAAATACTCTACTCTGCTTCACTAGGGTATGGGTCCCACTTACCTGTAGCAAAGAGGTGAGTACAGCAGTGGCTCTGACTTTCGATTCAATGTCGGGACCACTCAGCCTTTCTCTGTAATGAAACACAGATACCTAAATTTCCGGCACGTACTCCAGCCGAGTAAAGGAAAACGATGCCAATACTCACTTTATGAAATCCATCACCTGGTCTCTGTACTTCTCTCTGGCTTTGTCATAATCCATGCACCAATAAACTCTCTCCAGCGCCACAGCCACGTGAGCTCTGGTGTCCGAAGTTATGTTCATGCAGCTTTCATATTTCATCTCTGGCAGTTCACTGGCAATCTCCAGAAGAGACCAAAGACCTGACATTATCAAGTAAATCAGTCTTTAAAAATGGCATTTTATTCCTTCTTTTAAAACATCTTTATCAAAATAAAACCGCCAGGGGGACACACGCAGATCCCCACCTTCTGAGACTGTACCAGTGTGCCCATCTATGGTTTGAGTAAATGGACAGAATTTAAAGTGGAAAAAAGTCCAAAAGCTGGACCGGGCATTTTACGGTGCAAGTAATGCCCGTGACAACCGCCTATTATTAGAAGAGAAACATTGTGAAGAAGAGTTACTCAAGTCTTGGTCCTTTCGCAGCAGAGAAATTAAAGCAAAATTGCTATGTTTTACCTTAAAAATTCTACCAACTGGCAGAGTGCCGGCAGGTACAGACTGCAGGTGGAAATGTTACCTCCCCGAAAATGCCAGATGGAGGATTCCGTCCCGGCAGGCATTTACCTTGTTATTAGCATGACTCAAGGATGAGCCCTGCACCAGAAGTGCAGGGCACTTTGCACCATAATGGTGAACTCATCCTTGCATGGTAATGACCAGACCAGAAATTCTTTGGAAGGAGAGTACAATTGGTGACCGGGAGATAATTTCCAACATGTGTCATAATAATGCCATTCAATTTCGTGATTTAAAAGATTGGATGGTAAACTTTGTTTTTACTGCCTTCTGTATTTTTTATGTAAATTTTACAGAATAAAATTGATTCCTAAAACCCACCTAGTGACTTTACCATCACCCGCTCCCGTGTGCAAAAAAGAGGGTAAAGATAGAATTACCATTATGAAATCTGTCATGAAAAATGATGCGTGGCTACATGTAAAAATATTAAAGGGTATTGATAAGAAGCGTCAAAAAAATCCCTATAAAATTAAGAATGTGGCAAACACAGAATTAAGAAAATTGCCTGGCTTGGCAACTCAATCTAAGATACAGGCACGAGGCACGACGAATTTCCCAGGAATATTTTAACTCCCATTTCGAAGAAAGATAAAACAATCAAATAAAAAGATTATAGAACAATTAGCCCCATCTCCTGTACCTCCAAAATCCTTTTAAGAATATTACAGAAATGCCTCTGTGGAAAACCCAACCTGTTAGTAAGGGAAGAACGGTTTGGCTTCAGAAAGGGAAGAGGCACTAGACATGCAATAGGAGTGCCGAGATACATTTAGAAAGTAAAAAAAATGTCGGCATGCTTTACACATCTACAAAAGGCATTTGACAAAACTGACCAAGAAAGTTTGACAAACGTTTCAAAAAAGAAAGGAATAAATTAAAAGGACAGGAGATTAATACTAAACTATACAAATATCGAAGAGCGGTAGTCAAAGCAGACGTCAATATGGTGAGAAAATTGAGATGGAAAAGGGTGTCAGGCGGGGTGTTGCCCATCACTGCTTCTTTTTGACCTATACTTGGAAGAGATGATTACAGAATATCTAAAGTGGAAGTTGCAAACTGGCAGCCCTTTGAGGCTTCATATCCAGCCCACAGTCTCGACCATCTCTTTTCTAAAAAACAATATTTAACATCTTCAAGGGATTCAAACGGAAAAAATTTGGACATCTTTTACCATCATTTACTTTGGTGGTAAAAGCCAGCAACAAAAGGGCCTTTGTTAGAGCCATTTTTAAAATTACAATACATTTACCGAATAATATCAAATAAACCCGCCTCTAATATATGTCTATTTAACTGGCCTTTAGTTGCATTTGAGTTTGAGATCTCCATCTAAAGGAAGGAAAAGCAAATTCATTGCCAAAGATATGCAGATGACATGGCAATTTTAGTGGAGAGCAAGAATAAAACAAAAAAGATTCTGAGTAGACTGGTATGGTCTTCAAAACAATAACGAATGTTAATGAAACCACAATGTGAATTGGAGAAAAGGAAAGGATGATGTCCACATAAATGGTGACAGAGTGGAACAAGCCAACGAGTTATGATATCCGGGTGTTTGGCTTGACTCAGAGTGCAAAAATGAGAAAGAAATCAAGAGGAGAATTGGTACAGTGAAAGAGGCATTTAGCAAATTTAAAACAATTTTGTGTGGGCCTCCAAAATTAGAATTGAGAAAAAGGAAGATCAAATGCTAGGTTTGGAGTGTTTTCCTCTACCATGCCGAAACTTGGACTTTGAGACAATGCAACATTAGGAGAATAGAGGCTCCATATATATGGCTGTGGAGAAGAATAGAGGAAATTGGATAGAGTAATATGGTGAGAAATGAGAAAGTCCTAAGGCGGTGAAAAAAGGAACATATTAGAGACAATAAAGAGACAAAAAGCTAATCGGATGGGACGTGTGATTCAAGAGGAAGGCTTATGGAGTGACGTTACAGAAGGAATGGTTGCAGGCAGAAAGAAACGAGAGAGCAGGGAAATTAAAATGGTGAATGACTTAAAAAAGGATAGTTGAAAGGAGCTAAAGATGAGAGCATGGGATGGAGTAGCATGGAAAAAAAGGATGCTCACTGGACTGCTATAACTAGCAGAAAATCGAAGAATCTTATCACAAATTGTCCAACGTTGCTTAAAAATGTCTATGAACTGGAAAGGAGACAGAATGCCAAATTTTGCAGAGGAAATTATCCATCAAACAAACAGATATTACCAACTTTTTTAAGTATTGATCAAAATAAAGCACTGTTTGTTTACCAAATTAAAATTTTTGTGCCACATGTTGCAGGTTTCAATACAATTAATGAGTATACTGCTTGTCAATCTAAATCACATGTCATATAAAACCACAGCTGTTGACACTAACAGAAATAAATTCACAAAACCTACAAAACAATTTTTCATGCATTTGCTTGATATAATGTACCATACATATTCTTCGTACAATGACCATTTATCTTCGTTCCGCCGTATGTAATCTAAGCAAAAAGAACGTTCCTTTCTCATCCTACAACAAAGGAAAAATCACCAGATGTTCCCTGGATTTTTTCTAACTCTACCTTTTCTTTTTAGAATTAATAAATTAGTTAATAGTAATTATCAAAAATAGCATACTTCAAACCATCATAAACAAAATACTTAGCGACTACAGAACAAAAATAAAAACCTTTGCTGTCGACCAACTTCATTCCCCAATTCAAGGCATCCATGTCTGCATTCTTTGTGATCAGTTCCAAGATGGCATCTCTTCCCTCCGCCGACATGACACGACTGGCAGACAGCTTGACCAGAGTCATCATGATCGAGTCAATCTTGCTTTCATTATCTGCATATGTTCGGATGGTGTTATTTGGAATAACCAAGAAGTAAAAAAAAAATAAAGGTTGGTCAGTTACCTTTCATCAGTTGCTTGTTAGGTTTCTTCCCCTCTTTGATGTCCATTCCGCTCAGAGTGTTGATGATAACCTGAATCCAAAACTGTACGGCATTTATGTACTGCTGAGATTGTGAGTTTATATTTTCCATTATAAATGGAAGACCGACTTGTTCCAGCACTGTTGAAACCTGAATTTTCATAAAAATAACGTCGTCAGTCATTTGTCCAATAAATTGAAATTACTCTCAAATAATTAAACTAAACACTAACTAATATAATTTGGATTGGGCAATTTTCTTTCTTATGGAAAACAGACAGTACTTCAAAAACATTTTGATTCCTATTGCCAAATAGGTCACTCTCCAGCCACTCGATCCTCAACACTGCTTCTTAGGCTTAGCTGAATGCATAATAGATATAGTAAAAATGCCGTTAGCACTATGGGTGGAAATAATAATAAAGTGCCAAATACTCCCAAATCATTCCTTTGGAGATATTTGGCACTTAGAGCATTTTTATCATTAGGAACTGGTAATTTAGGTTTTCACATATTTTTTTTGCACAATGGCCTTGCATTGAAAGTTCCAAATTTGCAATTATTTCATTGATATGGGTATCGGGCAGAGTTATAAAACCCTAAAAATGCATATTTTGATAATACAGCCTAAAATGCATATTTGAGAATACTTTGGTATATAAAAACCTAAATTTGGCATATTTTGTCAATTTCCTAAAACTTCCCTAGCCAATATCCCCTCTTCAATCCCCAGGGATTGTCCCCCTTTTTCAAACTGGTTCTCATTGGTTTGTTTCATGATTAACATCCTGTTGCTACTCATTAGACACTTTGACAGAACAATACCAGAAGGTATTTAACCTTGGATTTTGTTATCTGTGCCACACTGCTCTTTCTTTTTCCTAAAAACCAAGAACCAAGAACCATTTATACCAAGCTAGCCTTCGCTTCCAGAAGTATTTAAATTCCATATAACCTTCCACGGTTACTAATGGTGCCGCATGGCAAGCGGAGGCTGCGGGTTTAAGCCTCACCCCGGGTCACTTATTTTCTTCCAGAATGTTCTAAATTATTTATTAAATTATTAAAATTATAATTATTAATTTAGATAAGAGATGGCACCTAACGCTTACCTCTAGTACCAAATTTATTTGTATTAATTATTTGATTATAGCCATATTATAGCCCGAATATTTAGGTGATTGTTGGATGCTTATGTTTGAAAAATGTGGTAGAAAAGGAAATGCATATTTTGAGGTTTTTAGAGCATATAATATGCACCTAAAATGCACTTTTTAGCATCTAAAAATCTGATTCTTATTTATCATATCCATTGTAGATTCAGCTAAGCCTAAGAAGTGGAGTGTCTTTTGCAAAAAAATGCTGCCAATCTTCCAAACAGTAAATCATGTGCAAACTAAGTGGAAGCTAGACCACAAACATGGCAAAAGGGCAGAGCAAACACACATTTTTCATATGACACACGACCTTGAAACCTCCCTATTCTATCTCCCTCATATTTTATCACAAGTTTTGCTCTGCCTCTTTCTATTCCACACACATTTCCCAATGCAGCTACAAACATTTTTTCAAGAAATAATTTTGGTAAAAACAGTTCATTTGTGGAAGAATGATGGAACTTATGGTGAATCTAATAAACAAATCGAAATTCAATTGTTAGTTTGTATAACAATCATCATCATATCTACTCTACACTGTAAAATTCACAACTAAGTCCTTAATCATCCAACTGTGATTAAACAAATTTGTGTGTGCATTTAAAAATCATTATATACAGTAATATCCCAAACTTGCACAATAGATGGGACTGAGCGATAATTGCGTAAGTCGAATTCGCGTAAGTCGTGGTATAATTTCGCATAGAAATACATACAAATAATTTTTAATTGGGGCCAGAGACTAAAGAAAACAATAATTTAGAAAAAAACGTTTAATAAAATCTTAGATAATACATATGTATGACAAATTATATTATTATACAATTTTTCACATTTACTTGATTATCACACCATAATTTTAGCATTGTTTCCATCTCAGCGATAATTTGAAAAATAAACTACANTAGAAAAAAACGTTTAATAAAATCTTAGATAATACATATGTATGACAAATTATATTATTATACAATTTTTCACATTTACTTGATTATCACACCATAATTTTAGCATTGTTTCCATCTCAGCGATAATTTGAAAAATAAACTACACCGATATAAATCCAGCAAAATTTAATAAAATAAATTTAATATGTCTTTTTGCAAGGAAGAGGCGTACCTATGGGTAGTCCTACATCTGCAATCCTTTGCGAATTGGTTTTACGTCAACTTGAAAACGCCATCCTACCCGAATTTCAACAACAGATCATTTTGTACGCTAGATACATTGACGACATTTTCATACTTTGGCGCGAAGAACCTAACCTGCAATATTTTTTAAACAAAATCAACAATAACCCTTACGGTTTAACATTGCAGCTGGACCAGAAGAGCGACTCCAGTGTTAACTTCCTCGACATTTCCATTACGTGCAAGCAGGGAGAGATCTAGACCGATATTTACCGTAAACCCTGCTTTCAACCCGTTATCATCCCACGCCAATCAATCGATCCCAAGCATATCAAATTGGCGGTTTTCAGATCATGGATTAAACGTGCTTATACGCATTGTACAAGTTTCTGCGACACGATAAAGGAGCTAAGGTACATTCTTAAAATAGCCCAACTAAACGGATATCCAAAGAAAGAGATAGAGGATCTTATTTCATCCTTCCAATCCACTACACGGCATTCTCCCAGGATTAACCCTAATAAACGAATAGTGCTTAATTACGTCCCATATTTGAACAAGATACACAGATCTACTGCCAAGTCTAATAACTTACACATTGTATACAGGCGCAATCCCACTATTTTCAAACTATTGAGAAACGACAAAAAGAAAGAGGATCGGAACTCAACAACAGGTATATATTCAGTGCCTTTACATGATCAGCGTTTCGATTCCAGGCTAGTTTACGTGGGTGCGACGATGCACGGTCTAAAGAAAAGGCTCAAGGAACATAAGTACACTATTGATAAGAACCTTGATAACACTGTGTTAGCATCGTACGCAAAACAACAAGATATAAATGTTCTATGGGATCAGGCATCAATTATAAAAACAACAACTAATCGGCAAACAATCAAACATCTAGAGAAATTGGAAATCTATAAAGCGCACATAAAAACTGGTTGTATAAACCATAGGGATGCCGACTCATTATCCACTGCGTTGAGATCCTTTTACAATTATTAATTTTTCACTATTTAGTTGTTAATTTTTCATTAGTTCGTCTACTAGGGCGTTTCCGTTAATTTTTATTTTTGTATTTATTTCGAATGCATTTTATGTTCTATATTTAATGTTCTATTTTTAGTAACTGAAGATGATCGTTGAAAAACGATTAAAAACGTTTTTATTTTATTAAATTTTGCTGGATTTATATCGGTGTAGTTTATTTTTCAACTTATTCTACTTCCAGTACATATTGGTTATATATTTTACTCGGCGATAATACCGTGACGTTTACGAATTATGCTTGAATTTAAAGATTGAGCATTTTTCACAGTTTCGAGAATTTTTTCTTTACCTTTTATAATTGTTCTCACTGTCGATTCAGGTAGATCAAACTTCTTTGCCAATTCACAAATTTTCATTTTTGTATCGAACTCTTTAATAATGGGGTACGTTCGTAAAGTCAAACGAGTTAAACACGTTAGTAACGAATCATTCGAAAAGTCTAATGAAATAAGAATAACGATGACATCATTCTCATTTAACTCGTTCGACTTTATGAACGTACCCAATGTTAACTTTATATTCCAGAGATAAAGTTTTTCTTTTCTTGTTTGATGCAGAAGAATTAGTTCTAATTCGTTTGGATGACACAGTAGAGTCTCTCGAGTCTCCATAGATATAACAAACACAGAAATAAATAACACGAAATAAATTGTAGCTATGTGTCGATTCCGCACGACAAATCCAAACATGTAAGCTGAACAATAGTGTGGAGGAGTGAGTAATCGAGGGTTGCGTGGCGCTCAAACAAAAAACGAATCGATGCGATTTGAAAATCACGTAACTCCGGGTTCGCGTGAGTCGGGGTATTACTGTACTAATAATAGACAGATTCTACCTTACTGTAAAATTTCAAGTAAATTACTGCAATAGTTTGTGATTTGTATCCAATTTTCACTTTTGTGCTTATTGTTTGGAGGGGAGTATATTTAAAAACATACATGAATATGACTGACTAATTCTGTAACATTATCCAGTGGTGTAGCTTCTGAAAATAACATAAGGCAAACTACAGAGTCTGCATCGCCAGTTGTGAGCTATCATTCAGTGAGTTAAAACTAATACTTTCGTATTTGAAAACCTCTGGGTTGAGAATGATTCTGTGATCTCATATACCAAGTGTAGAAAGAGAAGAAACTGAAAAAACTGATTTTTGATTACATCGTAGACTGGGTTGCATCAGTGAAAACCTGAAAGGCGCAATTGTAATTTTCTGGTAGTGTTGTAATTTTTCAATTAAAAGATTAAGAACTGACCGATAGTTTTGGGCCAATTTTACAATAAAATTATCCAAAAGATGAATATTGAATGTTCAAATAGAGGACAATTTGAATATTTAGCCTTATCTGAACATTCATGCAAGGATGGGGAAGACACTCTTGTCTCCATAGCCGACAATGAATTAGAGAAACTCTTTGGGTTACATATAAAATTATAAGGTAAATTTAAGTATACACAAAGTATTTCTAAAAATGGTAATATTTTAAAAGGGAGAAATCTGTATAATACAGCTCTTTGAAGAACATTTTTAAAACTTTGGACAAGTGATACTATGAGGTATGTGGTTGTTTAGCACTTAGCACTATATTTTTATCCAATAATTTATATAAAAGATTTGCTCAAGCATTTTTTAACAAAAATATTTTCATATTCTTAATAGTTATGTGAAAAATTAAAATTAGTAATTAAATTCAAATAAAACACACTTGAAAAAATACAGCAATAGCAAAAATAACAAAAAAAAAATCTGCTTTATTGATGCTTGCTTACATCAAATAACAGTTTTCCTTATACTTTTCAGGCTTTGTCAACATAAGATTTAGGTTAACGGTAGATTTACTTTAGTTATCAAGCTAGTTCACTCAAGTATCTTCCAATAATAGGTGCAACTATCCAAAGGTACTATAGATTCATCATAAGTGAGCTTTGATATAACAGATTTTATTCACTTTTATAACCACTTTTTAGACAAATAAACCAAAATGTTATGTCCTTTGAATCCAACATTCATCTGAGTTCAAGAATTACCTAGAAAATGATTTAATTCTCAGATATTTCAGTCTTCAAAATCAATGATTTTGATGAGTCCAAAATATTGTTGTAGACTCTGTTGCAGATTGTACCTCTTACCGAAGAGGGAGCGGCGAGAATTCAGATTCATATGTAATTAAATAGAATATCTGAGAATTAAATCGTCTTCTGGATAATTCTTGAACTTGGGTGAACGTTGGATTTGAAGGACATAAAAGGGGTTTTTCAGATGAATAAATCGAAATGTTAAGTGGTTATAAAAGTGAATGATTATATCCAGCAATTATTGCTATTTTAGCTATATATTATACAGATTTTATTATTTTAAGAAATTGGAGTTTTCATTATTTAGGAAGAAAAAAGACTGGAGATTCTTCTTCGTCACCTAATATTAACATATTCCATGTTGAAATTTTTCTCCATTGCATGTGGCCACCATGTTGAATTTTTGTTGATGTTAAGACTAACGAAAATTTTATGATTTTTTTAAAAAATTATTGTGGCTATTGTATCGTCCAAAATTATTTTTTTTTATTTTTCACAAACAAAATAGATATATTAATAAATATAATATTTTGGAAGTTAGTTTTAATATAAAAAACAAGTAAAACGGCAAAACCGTATTTGGGACAAGACTATGTTTCGGAGACTTACTACTAAGCGGACTCACTACTAAGCGAAATCACTTTGATGCTCAAGGCAGGTCTCGTTCTCATTCTCCAATTTTCTTTGGTATCGCTACTTTTGAGCACAATCATTCAAACTTCGCCAGCCATGACCACGAGGTTGTCCACCATGCATTCTCGATGAAATTAACCTATCCAATTTCAAAATTTCTCTCCATTGTGTGCCAGCCCGGGTTGAATTTTATTGATGCATAATGAAAATTTCCCGTTTTGCAAAAAATAATTGTGGCTATTGTATCATCTGAAATTATTTTTTTATTTTGCACAAACAATATACAGTTTAACCCAATTATAATGTCATTGGATGTAATGAAAACCCTAATATAATGTCAAATTTTTATCGGTCCACGATTTTACTATACTAGATAATGTTAAAATACCTATTTGTAATGACACTCTGTTTTAATGTCATATTTGAAGCACTCCCAAATTTACAAAATTAGATTACAAATTTTTATTTAACATAGGACTGAACATATAGTTTCTTCTAAGGTCAGAGTTCACTTCTGAGAATGACTGTGGGTGCCTGTTTTGCCTGTTTGTAGAAGAGGATTGCCATTTTGTATTTTATTTTGACTCGGTTCTTGGTCCCCAACTACTTACAAGTCTGGATTTTTTATGCGCAAAAAAAAAATAAATAAAATATGCGCAAATAGGTACCCAAATCAAATTTTTTTATTTGGGTACCTAATACTCTGCCAAATAACAACTCTCAACATGTACTCCTTCATACCTCTAAGCTGGTAACATAAACCAGCAGTACAATTTTATAAACAAGACATAGTCTTGTCAATTATGACTAGCAACATTAGTTCCAAATGTGTATCGATACTGTAACAACATATCATGGGTAAAATGCTCGAGGTCAGAGGTCATGACACCAAGAATTGTCCAGAATAACACAGGACAGGTTAAATAAGATTCATTTGTAAGATCTTAATGTTTTGAATTTCATTTCTGATGTAATTTTTCGTAATTTGCTCTAACCATTAAAATAATGATGTTAAATATAACAATAATAATGATATTTGATTTGTAAAACATATTTCAAAATACTGACTTATAAAAATGATACACAACCATATAAATATATTTGTATAACAATTGTGGTAACTCAGTTATTTTTATAGATAGATAGATATTGGCAGTTACTTTTATAGTATATAAAATTCGCATGTATATTACATTTAGAATCTTTAAATAAACTTTACCTTATCCTCTTTCCTGCACAATTCACTAAAAATGCGAACACAAGCTAAATTTATTTCTGGATTCTTCTGTTTCATTAGTTTCAGCAATTTTTGAATTCCGTCTTCTTTCATAATTAATTCGGCACCTGCTCTTTCTCTTGCCAACACGATCAGGTTGTTTGCAGCCTAAATCAGTTGAAATTTTTTGTTAACACTGAGAACAATTTCTACTTTCTTTGTATTGCATTTTTTTTCACAAAAAACAAATGCAATAAAATATTTAGCTTAATTCATAAATAAGAATTTCACTTACTTGAGCTCTATTTTCTGAACTCATATTTTCGTCAAGTAAAATATTAAACATATTTTTAACTTTATTTACTGTTCTAGACTGTTCTTTTGCCTAGAATATTAATGTTTACTTGTAAAAAATTCATTAAAATATTAAAATATCTATATTTCACTTTATTGATAAACTGTAGATCAACACTTACAATTTCCTGGATTTTCATACCCAGTCTACGAAGAACGGGTTGAATGGCATTATTATGAGGTTCCAAATGGTGAATCATCCGTGCATCTTTAAACGCCTCATCATATTTTTCCAGGTTTTCATGGGCTTGGCATCGTCGAAACAGAGCTTTTACATCCGTTGGTGCCAATTCCACGGCTGCAACATCAAAAAATATATATTTATAATCAAACCTTTTGAATATTCACAGAAAATAATTATTTAGGATATACTACTATACAATAAGTCTGGACAATACATGACTTCTACAAAATGCATACGTTTAGAACAATTACAAAATTGTAAAGCAGGCTCATTATACAACTTTTGTAATTAAATGAGATATTGATTTAAAAAAATTAAAAAAATACTTTGCCTTATTTTTTTAATCAATATAAGAGGGTAGTCCCAGAAGTACCCGACCTAATAAAGACACAAAAAATTTGGGAAAACATATCTTTATTTTTCAACATAGTCTCTTTTTAGCTCAATACACTTTTTCCAGTGATGTTCAATAGCTTTGATCCCCTGTTTATAGTGAGAACTGTTGAGCTTCTCAAAATAGCCATCAACCACAGACTCCACCTCTTCATTGTTGGCAAATCTTTTACCATCAAGCCGTTTTTTCAAATTTGGAAAGAGAAAAAAATCCAAGGGGGCTAAATCTGGCAAATAGGGTGCGTGAGGAAGCAATTTGAACCTTAACTCATTGATTTTTGCCATTGCAATAATGGATGTGTGAAATGGTGTGTTGTCTGATGAAACAACACTTTCTTTTTCACCAAATGTGGCCGTTTTTCTTCATTTCATCGCTCAAGTGCTGCAATAAGTTCGCATAATACTCGCCGTTGATTGTTTTTTCTTTTTGAAGATAATCAATGAAAATTATCCCATGCACATCCCAAAAAACTGACGCCATGATCATGCCAGCAGATGGAACTATTTTCGCCTTCTTTGGAGCTGATTCTCCCCTTTCAGTCCATTGTTTCGACTGTTCTTTCATCTCAGCTGTGAAGTGATGGACTTATGTTTCATCCATGGTTATGAATCGATGAAAAAACTCGGCTTTGTTGGGGCGAAACATTGCCAAACACTCGATTGAAACATCCTCACAACGCTGTTTTTGTCTCGTTGTGAGCAAATGCGGCACCCATCTTGCACACAGCTTTCTCATGTCTGAATTTCCAGTCAAAATGCGATGTATAGCACTTTTTGAAATGCTTACCGTGTCTGCTAGCTCTCGCACTTTGAGTCAACGGTCATCCAATACCATTTTGTGGATTTTTTTCACCATTTCTGGCATGGTCACCTCATTTGGTCGACCACTACGATGTTCGTCTTGGCAGCTCGTACGGCCTTGTTTAAATTCTGCCACCCAATATTTTATTGTTGTAAACGAGGGAGCAGACTCCCCCAGAGTAGAATCTAGCTCAGCTTTAATATTGGGTGGACCGAAACCTTTCAAATGAAAGTATTGTATCACATAAAGATGACTAATTTTTTCCATGTTTACAAATTCACTGAGATTGTTCACTATTGATGGCTGCCAAAAAGTTACTAAACAATGTAGTGTCTTCAAATTTCAGCTTTATAAGGTTGATACTTTCGAACACAGTCGTTTTTTCAAACAAGTACCGCAATTTATATGTCAGGTCGGGTACTTCTGGGAAGACCCTTGTATCTTTTGTTTTTCTTTAGTAACCTTTTATTATGCACTTTGAAAAAGGCTGACAGACCAAAGTGTATTTAAATAAATAAAAAATAGGTTCCAATATTTGGCAAAAAAGTTAATGAAGAGAGATGACAAGAGTGTTACACAAAATTAAAGATTGATTAGATCTGGAAAAATCTTACATGATTAATAATAGTAGTATATTGAATGAACATAGAGATAAGAGATGAATCAAAATTATAAAGTCTCAAAACAAAACAAAATTACAAAATGAGTCTCTTATGAAAATCAGAGATCAAACATAGATGATATAATTATGTTGTCAATAGTCAGTAAAACAAAATAGCTAAACCCATTCAACCAATCCATCTTTTTGAAGTTTGGAAATTATTTCCTATTTCTGTTTGATTAGTTAATTGGATTTGAAGTTTGTATAAGAACCTTACAAGACATAAAAATACCACGAGAATTTTAGCTATTTATTTTTATTTCCTGTTTATGTTTTTTAGTTCCTTTACTCTTCTATTTTATTAGTTTTAAATTTTAATGATCTGCTTATAACAAATAATAATAATAATAATTTATTACGAATATAGTCCTTTATTTGTTTGATTGTTAACAATTCATTTTATGTGACATAACATTAAAAGTTATTTTTATTTATTTATTTTAACAAAAGACAATGTCTGTACACAAAGTGTTTAGCCAGTAGAAGAGGAGGGGCGAGGTGAAGGGAAGGAGGAGGGTGAGGAGATAGAAAGAAGAAAAAGGAAGTATCCCCTGAGCAGTGTACACAAGGTTATTACTCTCTCTATGTTTAATGTTGGCATGCAGTTTTTTGGCTGCAAAGCCAAACTCATAAGCTCACCAGTAAGTTAGTGCAGCTACATATAAGCTAGACACAGTAAACACATTAAAGTTTAAAACTAAAGTGAAGGCTTAAATCTATTATTAAAATTAATAGAAAACCTAAGCTAGCAATCCCTGTAGTAAGCAGAACAACATAACTGAAACAATCAGGTGAAAAAACTTAAATCTAACTTAACTATAGTGGAACCTCGCTTAATGAGCATAAGTCATTCCAGAATCTTACTCTTAATGCAAAACACTCATTAAGCGAAACTATTTTTCTCATAGAAATTAATATAAAATATGATAATGCATTTCATGCCGAAAAAATACTCAAATATTTTATATATAACATTTATTCAAAGAAAATTACACAATATACATTGTTAAGAAGCATAAATCATCATCATCTTTTCTTCTGGCATGGAGTGAACAAACCTGGAATGCAAATTTGATTTAAAAAAAAAAAAAAAAAAAATCACAGATATTATATATAACATTTATTCAAAGAAAATTACACAATATACATTGTTAAGAAGCATGAATCATCATCTTTTCTTCTGGCATGGAATGAACAAACCTGGAATGCAAATTTGATTTAAAAAAAAAAAATCACAGATAATGTCTGATGAAGATGCCAAAAGATACGCCAAATTCTTGGGCTATGTAAAGGCTATAATTAAATATTAGATATTATATAACATCTACTGCACATCGGATTGTATAAAATAAATATGACGTACTTGAACCTATAACCGATGTGTATCAAATAATCTTTCAACGACGAACGTTTTCATANTAATTTAAAAAAAAAAAAAAAAAAAATCACAGATAATGTCTGAAGATGCCAAAAGATACGCCAAATTCTTGGGCTATGTAAAGGCTATAATTAAATATTAGATAATAATTAATTTGATAGAGGTAGGCAGTTATGCTGCCATCTCATATTAAATTTAATAATTATAAATATGTGAAATCCACGAATTTAACGTAGAAAAAATGTGTAAACAACTCCAATAGAAAAAACACTCCTGGTGAGAATTCCTTCCTCCATGCTTCTGCGCTCTAAGGGATTTTTTTCTCTTTAATAAAGTAGACACCAATGAACTACATCAACAAGTACTAGAATTGGCCCATTTAATTTGTTACAACTCTGTTTTTCAATTTAGAGAAAAGATATACTCATAAACAAGAGGTGTCCCCATGGGCAGTTCGGTCGCCGGGGATTTATGTGAACTAGTCATTAAGCAATTGGAGAGCAGGACACTGCCTAATTTCCTCCACGACATTATCCTTTACAAAAGATATGTCGATGACATCATCATCTTATGGAGGACAACTCCCAACCTAACCCGTTTTATAGAAGAAATGAATAAGAATCCGTATGGACTGACACTAGAGATGGAACAACATAGTAACAGCAGAGTCCATTTCCTGGATTTAGATATAAGATTTGAAGATTCCATCATACGCACATCTGTTTTTCGCAAACCGTCTAGTCTATCGGCATACATACCATTTAACTCATGTGATCCCTTTCAATACAAGATGGCGGCCTTCAGGACATTGGTCAAACGAGCTTTTACGCACTTTTCTACACAACTAGCGCTAGAGAAAGAGTTAAAATACTTGGAAGGCATTGCCAGGTCCCATGGTTACCGAAATACTATACAAAAAATCTCGGAGGGCCATAAACAACCACAGGCTTCTTCCAACACTACAGTGATCATGCAAAACACTAAGGAAAATATGAGGATACCTATCATGTTCAACCCACTATTGAGGTCTCTATACAGCACCATCGCAAAGGAATGAAAAGTTACCCTAGCATACAGAAGGTGCAGCACTTTGTTCGATATCCTACGCAACGAAAAGGACCAATCCAGGGTGGAGAAGTTATCAGGCGTCTATACAATCCCTCTAAGAGATAACCAGTTTAACAGGGATTTGGTATACGTAGGATCGACTAAACGTTCATTAGGGGTTAGGATAAAAGAGCACATCTCGGATGTACAACGCAACAGACACACAACATCACTCTCCACCTACGCCACTGATCCCAAAATAGTGGCGGACTTCAATAGAGCGCAGATAATTGTCACCACACCGCACATTCACCATCTAAAATGGTTGGAGGAGATGGAAATTTTTAGAGCAAACGACGCATCCACTTGTATTAATTCGAGATGAAATCGGCCTTTCCACGGCATGGCAAAACCTACTACATACAGAGTAACAGCGAAATACTATTTATTAAATATTAAAATAAAAAATAAAAATAGAAGGTACTGGGGAACATGTGAGAACAGTATTGAATAAGTATGTATCTCAATCGCATGTTTTTAAGTATCATAATAATATCTTTCTCTTGAATTTGGACATTGATCGTTAACTTCGATCACGTTCAAACATATCACGTGACGAAATAAACGAACAATCCGAACGATTCAAACTCAACAGAGTTCGTATTTATTCAAATTTTGTTTTTGGTGTTCGATCCAGCTGTTTCACCTGAAGAAGAGCCCAGAAGGGGTTATGAAAACGTTCGTCGTTGAAAGATTATTCGATACACATCGGTTATAGGTTCAAGTAC